TTCTGTTCATCAAAGAACACCTATTCAGTTCAAGGAACAGGGACACATACCTTATCTGCATGTGAGAAAAAAAAATTACGGCCATCTTTAATCTACCAATCTGCTTTAGGGTCACAAATAATTTACTTTTCTCCCACATGTAAAATAAACTCATTTACTTCCTTGACCCCTTAATTTTAATCTCATTAATGGCATCAGCTCGAAGTCTGCAACTGCACCACCTAAATGAGGTCCAGGTATGGTTCCTCAAATACTGCTCCTTTCAAGCTCCATCTGAAGAACTGTGAGCCAAGAGACAAGTTACTCTCTGATTACGAATAGGATAATCCTTTATTCACAAAGGAAGAAAATATGAAGCACTTAACAGTCACTCATCTATGGCAAGCCCGAACTCTAGTTAGGCTAATATAATGCAAACTTCTTGATTAGGCCTTAATCTGGCTGTGTTCTTGACTCTGTAAAGTGTCTCTATTTTTTTGGTAAGACATAGCTTCTTTGAGCATCTTTCTTAGACTGCTTACTACTAGTAGAAGGTTGATGACCCAAAGACATATTTTATTTTATATTGTTCCTATCCCTTTCAGTTCAACCTGGTACAGTCCCTCTAAAATTTCTTGTAGATTTCTTTTTCTTTTTCTTTTTGGAGAGATTTTTGCTATAGGGCACGTGCGCTCGCCAGACAGACAGAGAGAGACAGAGAGACAGAAAGCGAGAAATCACCCCCCAGGGGGGATGGTCACGCCGCAATCCCTTCTCCTCCATTCTCTTCTCGGGATCTTGGGCACGCACGCACACGCGCCTGGTGTGAGTTTTAAGCCACCGGGTCCGGGACGTGAACCGCGGTCGACTATGTGGGGATCCAGCGACATAGCCATTACACTAACTGCTGGTTCCCTAGATTTCTTGTATTCAGTTTCATTAGGTCAAAGCCATACACCCACATTTGTTCCTGAGACAGGCCACCTTCTACCTTGGGTTGCCTGTGAGGCTAGGGCAAAATAACCTTAAGATCTTGGGACTGGCAGATGACATGGTGGTTAAGGGTGCTGGACTTCCACATGACTGATCAAGGTTCAAGTCCTAGACCCTGGCAGCCTGCTTTTTCACTCCCCCCCTCCCCGGTCAAATTAAAATAAGTACATAAATAAGTAAAGTTAAATCATTCTTTTTTAAAAAAAGATCTTAACAGCTCTTATTTAACTGAGAGGAGGGCATTTAAGGCATGGCTTTAAGATTATAGCTCTTATCTTTGAGGTCTTAAAAAATTGTATATAACCATAACAGTTTTTTTTCTTAAAACTGCATTATTTGGTAGTCCTTGAATGTGATCCCTGAAGTCATTGGTTACTTTAAGACTTTTTTGTTTGAAAAGCCTGGGTTTGAGATTTACTTTTTTTTTTTTTTTTTTTTTTTGGCCAGAGGGCATATAAACTCATCAGGAGTGACAGGGAGACAAGAGAAAGCACCCTCTGTGGGGAATGGTCACACTGCAACCTCTTCTGTTTATCCCTCCCTTGGGGATCTGGGCACACATGCAGGGCAAGTTTCTCAAGCCATGAGGTCTGGGATTTGAACCACAGGGTTGGCCATGTGGGATAAAGCACTCCTCACGGGGAATGGTCAAACTGCAATTGCTCCTCCATTTCTCCCTCCTTTGGGGACTTTAGGCATACAAGCACATGTACCCATGTTTCCAATCTGCTGGGTCTGGGATTTGAACTGCATAATCTGTCATGTAGGATGTAGCCCCCTTAACCATCATGTCACAGGTTGGTTTGAGAGGTTTACTTCTGAACCCAGCAATTCTCAGCTCCTTTATGTTTTCTTTAAATACAGCTCCTAAACTGAGATTTCTGTATTCCATCTCTTTTTTCCTTTGTCTAGGCAGTTAAAACAAACCAATAGTAAATTTCTATATTCTCTCTAAAAACCCTTCCCTATCAGATCTACCTTCATTAGGGTAATTTTCTATTTCCTATGCTATTACAAGCAATAATGTCAAACTTTCTAGCATTTCATAAAAAGCAGCCACCTTCTCCAACTTCCAATAACATTTTCCTCCCTATCCTTCAATCTCTCACTGAAAGTCTTGAGTCTCTTCTGCACTTATTAACAAGCTATTGGGGTTTTTCCACCTTCTGCTTATCACCTGGTACCAAATGGACTCCACTTCTTGACAGAAGAAATGTCAAAGTATTCATGGCCCAATCAGAGGAAGGAACAGTTAGGACTATTTGTCTGTGAGCATAATGCCTGGCTCATGCTGTGATATCAGTAACTTCACTGAACATTCAGGAATCTGAAAATAATCTAAGTGGTGATATTTGCTAAAGTAGAATGCCTGAAAAATTAGTTAACCTAACTGAAGAAATTACCAGTTGAACAATGCTCCTTTTTATTTTATTAGATAAGGATTTCCCTGGTGATACTGGTTTAGAAGCAATAAATTAAGCCACAGAAATAGAAAATTAAGGAAATATAACGGGGGGGGGAGAGTTATGAATACAATACTTTAGAGAATGTTCAACACAAAAGAAGATGATCAATGAAGAGTTTACTGTGTGTCCAGGTGATTTTTAACCAATATATACAGATAGAAAGTGGCTATATATTGAGTGTCTACTGTGTGCCAGGAACATGCTAGGTGCTAGATAGACAGTGTGCAGGTAGATAATCAAAAGCAGGTGATAACTGTGCTTTGGTAATTTAGTTCACTACTTAGTTAAATTATAATTGAAACCATTCTGATCTAAGTTCTAACTTTGTTTATGTAAGACACCATTAGAAATCTTTGTTCATCACTGGATTGGGAAAATATGCTCCTAACACCAGTCAGTGGCATGGTGGTTAAGGTGGCTCGATCTTACATGGTAGACAATGTGGTTCAAGTCCCAGACCCAGCGGCTTGAAAACATGTTGGGTGTGTGTGTGTGTGTGTGTGTGTGTGTGTGTGTGTGCCTAAAATCCTAAAAGGT